TTCCTCTCCAGTGTACAGGGAGCAGAGCTCTCCTCACTGGGGCAGGGTTTAGAGCTAGTCCATGGAGGGCCCCCAAATGACTTTCTGCTGAATTCCAGAAAAGGAGCACCTTAATTACTCAAGGCACACGAGGAAGAGACATCTTGGACAGGGAGCAATTGAAAAGGATCAGGAAGACCGTTTGCTGCGCTTCTTTTCCTCCTCAGCAACAATTTCTGAGTGCATTTGGGCTGCCTTTTTGCAGCAGTACAGCACTTGGATGTCAGCGCTTCCATCAGAATCTTCGGGGCTCCCTGGGCAATAGGACCAGAGTGAAGAGGACCACCAGCCTGCTGGGCTGCATTAGGCAGAGCGTTGCCAGCAGGTGGAGGGAGGTGATCCTGCTCCTCTGCTCAGCACTACTGAGGCACACCTGGAATGCTGGATCGCCAGTACGAGACATGAACATACTGGAGAGAGTCCAGCAAAGGGCTGATCATGAAGGGACTGGAGCATCTCTGGTAAGAGGAAAGGCTGAGAGAGCTGGGACTGTTCAGCCTGAAGACGAGAAGGCTCAGACAGGGGAGCTTGTCAGTGTACTGAGAAGCACTGATGGGGAGGGACAAAGACAAGGGAACCACGCTCGTCTTAGTGGTGCCCAGTGACAGGACGAGAGGTGATGAACACAAGCTAAAACACACAAAATCCCACCCAAACCCGAGAAAATACTTGTGTTTGTCTGTGCATGCAGTGTGTGTGTTGTGTGTGTATGCTTGTGTACTGTTATGTGTTGTGTGTATGTGTTTGTGGTGTGTGTAGGAGTGGGGGTGTGTGTGTTGTGTGTATGTTTTGTGTTGTGAGTGTGGTGTGTGGTTGTGTTGTGTGCACAGTGCATGGTGTGTGTGTGTGTGTGTGTTGTGGTTTGCGTGTGTTCAGCGTGTGTGGGGTGGTGGTTGAGGGCTGTGTTTGGTGCTTGGCTCCATGGGGCTGCCAAGGGGGCCCCAGAGCAGCCTCAGCCCCCTGGAG